CAATCAAATGGAGAAAAGCAGAAATATTAAATGCAGCCTTTTCAGACCATAACATAATAAAAATTACATTGAATAAAGGGCCATAGAAGCATAGATATAAAATAAATTGGAAAGTAAATAATCTAATCCTAAAGAATGAGGGTATCAAAGAACAAAGCATAGAAATAGTCAACAATTTCATTAAAGAGAATGATGACAATGTACCAAAATTTATGGAATGAAGCCAAAGCAACACTTAAGTGAAATTTTATACCTCTAAATACCTACATGAATAAAATAGAGAAAGAGCAGATCAATGAATTATGCATAAAACTAAAAAAAAAGTAGAAAAAGAACAAATTTAAAATCCTCAATTAAACACCAAATTGGAAATATTGCAAATCAAGAAACAGATTAATAAAATTGAAAGTAAGACAACACGAGCTGGTTTTATGAAAACATCAGTAAAATTAGTGAACCATTGGTTAATTTAATTTTTAAAAAGAAAGAAGACAATCAAATTACCAGTATCAAAAATGAAAAAAGGTGAATTCACCACCAATGATGATTAATTAAAGTATTTATTAGGGGCTATTTTGGCCAATTATGCCAAAAAAACTAACAATCTAAGTGAAATGGATGAATATTTACAAAAATATAAGCTTCCCAGATTAAGAGAAAAAGAAATAGAATACTTAACCTTATTTTAGAAAAATAAATTGAACAATCTAAGAAAAAAATCAGCAGGATCAGACAGATTCATAAGTGAATTCTGTCAAACATTTAAAGAACAATTAATTCCAATACTATGTAAAGTATTTGGAAAAATAGACAAAGAAGAAGTACCAACTTCCTTTTGACACAAATATGGTGCTAATACCTAAATCAGGAAGAGCAAAAGCAGAGAAAGAAAACTATAGACCAATTTCCTTAATGAATATTGCTGTAAAAATTTTAAATAACATACTAGAAAAGAGATTATACCAATATATCACAAAGATCATACATTATGACCAGGTGAGAATTATAATAGGAATTCAATGATAGTTCAATATTAGGAAAACTATCAGTATAATTGACCGTATCAATAACCACTAAACCAACAGAAATCATGATTATCTCAATAGATGCAGGAAAATCTTTTGACAAAATACAGCACCCATTCCTATTAAAAAACATTATATGACATAGGAATAAATGGAACTTTCCTTAAAATGATAAGTTGCATCTTTCTAAAAGGATTATGGGAGTAAGCTAGAAATCTGCCCAAAGGTAAGGAGTGAAACAAGTATAGTCATTCTCACTACTATTATTCAATATTGTACCAGAAATGTTAGCTATAGCAATAAAAGAAGAAAAAGAAATTGAAGGAATTAGAATAGGCAATGAGGAAACAAAACTATCACTCTTTGAAGATGATATGAATTATATCATTGAGAATAAATTGGAAAATCTTAGAGAATCGATTGAAAAAATTAGTTGAAATAATTAACAACTTTAGCAAAGTTGCAGGATATAAAATAAACCTACATAAATCATTAATATTTCTATATATTACCAACAAAGTTTAGCAGCAAGAGATAGAAAGAGAAATTCTATTTAAAATAATTGTAGACAATATAAAATACTTGGGAGTCTACCTGCCAAGACAAAACTAGGAACCATATGAACACATTACAAAACACTTTTCAAACAAATAAAGTCAGATCTAAACAACTGGAAAAATATTAATTGCTCCTGGATAGGCTGAGTCAGTATAATAAAAAATGACAATTCTACCCAAATTAGTTTGTTTATTCAGTGCCATACCAAACTATCAAAAATATTTTATACAGATAGAAAAAAATCATAACAAAATTCATCTAAAAGAATGAAAGTTCACAAATATCAAGACAATCAATGAAAAAATATATGAAGGAAGATGGCCTAGCCATACCAGATCTCAAACTGTATTACAAAGCAATAATTATCTAAATAACCTGGTACTAGCTAAGAAATATAGTGGTGAATCAGTGGAATAGTTTAAGTACTCAATATGCAGTAGTAAATGACCATACTAATCTAGTGTTGATAAACCCAAAGATGCAAGCTTTTGGGATAAGAACTCAATAGTTCACAAATATTGGGGGCTAAAACTGGAAGGCAGTTTGGCAGAAACTAGGTGTAGACCAAGATATCATACCATATACCAAGGCAAGGTTAAAATGGGTACATGATTTAGACATAAAGGGTGATACCATAATCAAATTAGAAGAGCATAGAATAGTTTACCTGTCAGACCTAGAGATGAGGGAAGAATTTACGACTAAACAAGAGATAGAGTTTTACAAGATGTAAAATGGATAACTCTGATTACATTAAATTAAGAAGATTTTACACAAACAAAACCAATGTAGGCAAGATTAGAAGGAAATCAGAAAACTGTGGGGAGGGGTATTTAAAGCAATTTTCTCTGATGAAGGCCACATTTCTAAAATATAATTATCAAAATTCCCAGTTCTCTATAGAGAACTGAGTCAAATTTATAAGAATACAAATCAGTCCCCAATTAATAAATGGTCAAAGGATATGAACAAGTGGATTTCAGATAAAGAAATCAAATCTATCAATAGTCACACGAAAAAATTCTCTAAATCATTACTAATTAGAGAACTGCAGATTAAAACTCTGGAGGAACCACCTCACACCTATTAGATTAGCAATACGACAGAAAAAGAAAATTACAAATGTTGGAAAGGATGTGGGAAAAATTGGGACACTAATTAAGGCACTGTTGGTGGAGTTGTGAACTAATTCAAAAATTCTGGAAAGCAATTTGGAACTATACCCAGAGGGCTATAAAATTGCATACTCCTTTCATCCCATAATAACATTTGGTCTGTATCCTGAAGAGATTTTTGAAAAAGGACCTTTTGTATAAAAAATATTAATAGCAGCTCTTTTTATGGTAGCCAAGAATTGGAAGTCTAGGGGATGCCCATCAAATTGGGGAATGGCTGAACAAGTTGTGGTATATGATTGTGATGGAATACTATTGTGCTATAAGAAATGACAAGCAGTATGCTTTCATAAAAACTTGAAAATACTTACATGAATTGATGCAAAGTGAAGTTAGCAGAACCAGGAGAAGATCGTACACAGTATCAGCAATATTGTGTAATGATCAACTGGATAACTTAGCTATTCTCAGCAATACAGTGATCTAAGACAATTCCAAAGGACTTATGATGAAAAATGCCATCATCTCCAGAGAAAGAACTGATAGAACTTGAATGCAGATCAAAGCATACTTTTTAAAAACAATTTATTGTTTTGGGGGGTGTTTTGTCTCTGTTTTCTTTTAAAAGATGATTAATATGGAAACATTTGTCATAACTACATGTGTATAACCCATATCAAATTTCTTACCTTCTCAATGACAGGGAGAAGAGGAAGAAAAGGAGAGAATTTGGAACTCAGATTTTTTAAAAATGAATAATACAAATTATTTTTACATGTAATTGGAAAAAATAAAATCTTTAAAAAAAGAAATGAAGATGACATCTGAGAAACATTAGAAAACTTACATGAACCGATGTAAAGCAAAGTCACTAGAAAAAGGGAAATAATATACAAAATGACTAAAACAATGTAAAAGGAAATAAATAACAATAATACCATAATAAAAACTGAATTGCCATATAATTGTAACGAACAAGGTGGGCCCCAAGAAAGAGATAGTGAACAATTTTGGCATACGAATGGGAAACATCATTTTGGAGGAGAGCTCTACTTAATCAGATAGTTATTTTATGTAGTTTTTCAGTTGTTTCAGTCATGTCTAACTCTTTGTGACCCCATTTGGTGTTTTTTTTGGCAAAAATATTGAAGTGGCTTGCCATTTCTTTCTCCAGATCATTTTACAAATGAGGAAACTGAGGCAAAAAGGGTTAAGTGAGTTGCTTAGGGTCACGCAGCAAGTAGGTGTTTGAGTCCAGATTTGAACTTAAGATGAGTCTTCCTGATTCTAGGCCATGCATTCTATCCACTGCACCACACAACTGCCCATGAAAATATACAAACACTTTTAAGTGTTTTTAATTGTGCTATATAGAGAGGCCATACATTTTTCTCTATTCTAAAGCTACAGAAAGAAACCTGACATTTAGATAAATACCTAAATGGATGATAAAATCATTGATTAAAGTCCAAAGGATATAGAGATGGAAGGATCTTTTAAGATTGTCTAGTTCAATCCCATCATTTTATAGTTTGAGAAAAGAAAGGCCCAAAGAGGTTAATTGACTTGCCTAGAGTCTTACCTAAAAATGGAGTTTTGTTATTCAACAAATGAAAATAAAAAGTCACCAAGTATGGTAATTGCCTGTCTCACTCTATTTTAAACAGCATAGGTTGTTTTGTGTTTAGTTACATGGGATTGATTTTCCTTAAGGACACTGGGATGTCTTATTGGAAAAGAAAGGAGTAAAGCAAATTTATCCAGTTCCTTGAGATTTTTGCTTTTAACCAAGTAGAGCATAGCTAAATAGCACTTGTCATCCAGTATAAATAGAACCTGGTGCTTATCAATCTCTCTCACTGGGAAAGAATGTAAAATAGCCAAGGAATGAAACACCCAGGAAGGCTGCCTGGACTGTAATATTGATTTAAAAAATAATTCCCCAAACTTTCCTCTAGACAGGGAGCCATACATTTTTGGCCAATGAGTTTCTCGACCTTGGGAGTGATGTGATGTTTTACGGATATAAATAAAAGAAGGCAGTTACATCAGCAGTAAAAATGTGCTGAAGCAGTCCCTTCCTTCTCAAGTTGGCCTTTAAAGGCACTCTTATTATCTTGACCAAAACCGTACAGTCATGCTACATGATCTGGGAATGAGAACTGTTCATGTAAGGGCTGGTCTAAAAGGACATCTAGAGAGCCAATAAAATGAAGCAACTAGTAAACATATTACAAAAGATGCTGAGTTAATGCCATAGTGTCATTAAATGAGCTCAGTAACAAAGCCTCAGGAAACTGGATTTGCTTTGTGTTTTCTCATACAAGGAAGTGATGGGGGTAGGAGGAGCTAGGCTAAAGAGTTTATGTTTTAGCTTATATGGAATAAAGAGTCACTGAAGATTTGTGAGCAGAGAGAGATGTAATCATGTTCATACAGTAAGTATGTACACATACATGCATGCATTTATACAAACAGATATCTATACATGTTTCAATACTGCAAACAAAAAACTTAAATTTTTTAAAAATTTAGTGGGTATGGGTGCTACTTCTGCTTGTTCAGATCACAAACTTTCTATAAACAAATACACAGCGTTTGAGATTTTTTCATGGTCAAAAACATGTGTCACCTTCTGATGAACCTGGTGATGTCTCTTCAGACAGAGGTTCTTGCATAATAGATACAAAATACTCCTGTGCTCTTTGAAATTACTAATAACTGTTGGTTTTATTTTAAAAATGTTATTGCTTGCAACTTTCTTCTGTATATTGTTATTCTAAGATCTTAATTAAAATGAATAAAAATGGATAAAAATAAAATAAGACCAAGTACATCACTGAGTTTATACTTGAAATGATTCCAATATATTTGGACCAATCTTCTATTGTCCTAGCTTCAAGAATCCCTGGTCACTTTCATTTTAGGATGAGGAATTTTGCTAAGACTTTGGCAGAGGCATAGATATATACCCACATAAATAGAGAACTGGAAACAAACAATTATTATGAGAATACTTATGCACAGTCTTTTTCGTTTGTTTGTTTTGCTTTTTGGTGAGGCAGTTGGTATTAAGTGACTTGCCCAGGAACACACAGCTAGTAAGCGTCAAGTGTCTGAGGCCAGATTTAAACTCAGGTCCTCCTGACTCCAAAGGTGGAACACCATGCACTGAGCCACCTAGCTGCACCTATTAGAACACTTTGGAGGATAAGGCACAGGACTTGGAGCCAAGAAGAACAGGAACTTGCCCATTTTGACAAGAAGCAGCTCCTGCCTAGAGCCAAAAGGAAGGCTTCCACTGACCTTTCACACCGCAGCAATATTGTTTTAAGGGCAACTTTGAGCAAATAAGTCATTTTGGCTATTATAAATGCCCAAAATAACTACAAAGGACACATGAAGGAAGATGCTATCCTCATTCAGAGAAAGAGTTGATAAATAGAAGTATGTATAGAATGATTTTACACATAGATGTATGTATATATGTATGTATGTATACACACATAGACATACATATTTCTGTCAAATGGTAGCCATCTCTAGGGCAAAGGGTAAGAAAAGAAAAGAAAAAAAGAAAGGAATTTACATGCTAATTTTATTATTTAAAAGAAATAGTAAGTTGTACATAATAGATTTACAGTTTCAAGTGCAATCATCTTTTTATATACTATGCTATGGAAATGCTTGTTTTATTCCATAAGTTAAAAGAAAGAAAAAAAAGAAGAAAATAATTAAGTGTGTAAAGGGGTCTTGAGACCAAAAATTTTGGGGAACTGCTGGACTAGGTAATCATTGAGGCTCTTTCTTGCTCTGAATTCTATGATTCTATGTGTGTATCTTTACTTAGACACAAAGAGAGTATTTAAGCATATTGTCATTTTTCTCTCAAAACTCAAATGGATCTGTGATCTAATCAATTTCTTGCTCCCTCCAACAATGTAGATTGTGATGCATCCATGTCTACTCATCTTATGTGACTCTTGTCCATGTACTCCTATGAAACCACCACAGGGGATACATACTGTTAGAAGTCTTCCTTACTTTCTCCTGACATTGATGGTGTACCAGTGGAGCACTCTGACTGTTCACCTGTCATCTCTGTCTTGCCATGTGACCAGTACATCTTCACTTTCTATGGTACATTTCTTTGATGTCCTTTTTCACTCTGAATTTTCTTTGAAGTTCCTTGTAGGTACTATGTTGCAACCTGATTACACCCTTTCATGTGCCTTTGCTGATTATTATATTCCCTACCTAGGGAAAATGTATATTTAAATGTAAATTTTAAATGGAATTATGACTATTTAAAATATCACCATTAAAGTTTGGGGAAGCTGTGTAACCTTGAAAAAGGAACTATGAAATGATGATTCCTGTACCTTAGAAAACCTTTTCTCAATCCTACTTCAAGGTAAAATAGCACCAAATAGAACGTAGGGTCCTTGGTTTGAGGTTATCTTGGGTTTGAGCTTTTTATGTTCCCCTAATTCTTTTAGAATATAAAGCTATCTGTACTTTACAGTGATCTTCGATGAAATATTTTTAGTGTAGAGCAAATTCGTATTTTAGAAAATGATTCTTACTTATCCTGTGGTTAAAAAGTCTGATGCCATCATGGAAATTGGATTGTAAGAACTCTAGGTTCTTCGAAGAAGAAAGAGGTTTTGGTCACATCAGGAACATCTGCATGTACCACATGTGATGATATACAATGCACTAAGGAAATTTAAACCCCTGAGACTTGAGTTAACAGTACAATGAAAAGTTTTGAGTTTTGGTTTCATCTAATCTCATAGGACATATCGTGGTTAAAATTCAACCAGAAAATTACATATGACTATGATGTGCTTCTAATGAGCATGAAACATCGGACTTGGAATAAGAAATGACAACTGGTGATTGAAATAATTATCATAAGTTTCATAAGTAGAATTTTGGGTACAGTATGCTCACTTATCAATAATCAAAATAGCTATTATAATAAAGGGTGAGGGTTATGAAAAAATTTAGGACAGGCTTACTATATATATATATATATTTTGTCCTTAGCTCAAATGCTGAGCAAGAAATCTGAACTCCACTGGATAGCACTGCAAGACTTAAATAATATTGGCCTCTGGATGCAGAGGAGCAGGATCCGTATTTGTCTTTAAGTATTTAATATTTATATGTAAAAAAATTCATGGTGCCAATACAATTATTTAAAACTGAATTTCCTAGGCTGCTTTTGGCAGGTCATGTCAATGTCCTTGAATATATCTCCTCCCTCCTTGATTATGTGTATATGCATACATACATACTTACACACATATACATATATGTATATATAATGTATTATATATGTATGTATGTATCCTTTCTCTTCCCATTTCCTCATTAGTCAAATCAGAGAGATGGACTGATGGACTAATGATTTCTAAGGTACCCTCTAAAAATTCTATAACACACCAAGCTCAAATTCTTCAGTGGAGAATTTTTCATTTATGAGAATCATTTCAAATATTCCCTATCTTGGAAGTCTCTATATACTTTTTTCAACCCAGCCATGAGGGGTCACTTTTGTCTTGGCATATTAGATGCCGATTTAAAAATTGTTTCCATCCAACCACTGAAAGACTCAGAGGCAAAGGAAAACACACACACACACACACACACACACACACACAGTCATCCAAATAGTATTCATGCTGTAAATGAAACTTAAAGAAGAGAAAATTTCTTTGCTTTCTTAAATTCACTTTCATATTGAAAATCTTACACCAATCCAACAAAAAGAACTGAAGAAATTATGGAGAAGACAGCAACATTTCTGAGGCCCAGGTCATGCTCATTTGAGAAGCCCACCTTCTTTTTTGGTCTACCTATTTTCAGAATTAAGAAAATAGAAAAGGCATATATACCCCAAGGAAATAATTGACAAAAAGAAAAGATTTAGATACAGGAAAATATTTGTAGCAGCACATTTTTAGTAGCAAAGAACTGGGGCAGGGGAGGAGGGGGAAATAGATGCTCATAAATTGGGGAGTGTCTAAACAAATTTTAGCACATGAATGCAATGGAATATGGTGCTGCATGAAATGATGAATAAGATGATTTTAGAGAAGCAAGGAAAGACTTACATGAACTGATGCAAAATTAAGTAAACAAAGCCAAGCAAATAACACATACAATGACTATGGTAATGCAAATGAAAGAACAACCACTTTAAAAATGAATGTTACAAAATAATACAAAACAATCTTGGCCCCAAGGAAGAGTTATGAGATGGTGATCCATCCATGCCTATGCATCCTGTATGACTCTTGTCCATGTACTCCCATGAAGTTACCACAGGGCATATACTCAAACTTCTGGAGGTCTTCCTTACTTTCTCCTGACACTGGAGTGTACCAGTGGAGCACTCTGGCTCACCTCCCACTACTTTGCAAAGGTGGAGTGTTCAGAGGTGTGGAGCATTGTCAATAACATCACTTCTTTGATACATTGATCAATTTTCTAACTTTTTTCTTCTTCCTCTTTATTTTTTTCTTTTAAAAATCTTTGTTACAGAGTATGGTTCTGGAGGAGTACAGATGGAAAGACAGGCATTATAAAAACAAAAGATCAGTTGAAGAATGGATGAGCAAATTATGGTATTTGATTATAATGCGACAGTATTGTATTATAAGAAATGTTGAAAAGAATGGTTTTGGAGAAACAAAGAAAAGACTCATGCAGAATAAAGGGAGTAGAATCAGGCAAAGAATTTATACAATAGCAAGAGCCATGTAAAGACAAACAACTTTGAAAAACAATATTGATCCTTATTGATCAATCAATAATCAACCAATAATGATTCCAGAAGACTCATGATGGACTCCACCTCATGATACAAAAGTGATGGAGTCAGGGTGCAGAATAAACATATTTTTGCATATAGCCAATGTGGGAATTTATTTCACTTGCCTATGTATATTTGTTACATGGATTTTCTTTTTTTTCTTTTTTCCCCAATGGGGTGTGACAGACAGAAAACACATTTTAGCAATTGAAATTTTTTTAATTAAAAAAAGAAAAGATATCAATAAAAATCTATTTTAAAAAAGAAAATAGCAAGTTTGGTTGGGTTTTTTTTTACAATCCAGGGAGATAGAAATAACTTCAACTCAGTAGTTTTTCTGGAATTACAATCCAAAAATTAATTTTTTCTATTAAATCTTTGTATAATGTATAAATGACAAGTATGATAACAACTAGAGACATTGTCATGTATGGGGTAGTTAAGAGCATATTAACAAATGAATGTCTATATAGGTGATGAAGTCTTTCTAAGTTTTATTATTTTAATATCATGGATATTAACTCATATTCATCTGTTTTGAATAATTGTCCTATCGAGTTAAAAGGGAAAAAAATATCAAAATACCAATCCCCCACCTCAATTTAATGAAGGCATTTAAAATAAATAGAACTACAGACAGGAAACCTTAGCCAGGATAAAGTGGGCACACATTTTTTAAAAATCTTACATTAAAATTAGAGTTATTCCCAAAATGCATCCACACCCCTTACTATGAGCTTTGATCTCAATTTCAGTTAAAACCATGGTGAGGCTCTAATTTCTCCTTTTCTTCACATTCTAAGCTTCTCAAAATCAATGTCAGCAAGTCTCATAGTCTCATGCACCTGTGAAAAGTGCTGGCTCAGAGGAACCTGACAAAAATACAGGTTTTTCTCTCTGTTGTCTGATTGATTTACTTTCTAGCTCTGAGGGAAAACTTTAGTAAAAATAACCTTGATTGGGGGCATGAGTGGAGGGGAACATTACTTTGTTGTGCTCCTCAATTCTCCATTTCACCATAATTTCAACACTTTGTTGAGCTAAGTCAACCACAGATGGTAACGTGGCAAACTCCTCCAAGCTACAGTGTTCTTTACATGCTGAGAAAGGAAATTATGCAACAGTATTTCCAAAAGAAGCATTGTCTAGTAAGCTCATGACAAAGATATACAGAGAAGCCAAAGGATAAGTTTTGTTACAGAGAAGTTTGGAAATCATTTTGGATAAGCAATCTTCAACATCTGAGCTGCTTGAAGAAGCAAACTAACCATTATTTGCCCACTCCTTAGGCCCAAATAACAAGTGGCTGCCTTTAAGAGATTAAAGATAAAGAAGAATTTTCCATCTGTCAGCAAAACATTAGTGGTTTTTGTTTTCTTTTTAGGGTTTTCATATCATTGTAGATCCTGTAGCAAATATGGAAGCATTTTGCAAAGCCTCAACTTTTAAATAATTACTGTCCATTTGGTAAGCTAATGTTAACATATATTGAACAATTGGAGACTAGTTAAGGGTGGTTGCTGTTGTTGTTGTTTATGTTATGGTAGGAGATATAAGTAAAATAGGAGCTCAGAGAATAGAGGGATCAGTGGTGACTAAAAACAGTCCTAGAATACTTCATAAAAGAAATAGGACTGGAACTGATCTTTGACACATGGTTAGGAATTATCTAGATGGCACTGTGAAGAAAAAATACTCCAAGTGTGTTTGGAGGAGGGGAGGAAAGATTTGTTTGTGGTTAGAAAAATAACTATTTATTCAATAAATGAAAGGCAATGTGAATAATAATTAGAGAGCTGTTCTTAAATCAAGGAGGACCTGGGTTCTAGACAAATATCAGTTGTGTGATTCCAGACAAGTCAATTGACCTCACAGTTCTCTGGACAATCTTTAAAACTATAAAATGCAGATAAAATGCTGATCTTCATTGACAGAGTTTCCTCCCTGGGGGCTGGGGATGTCAATGAAATCACAGGTCCAATCATTATTCCTTATTTTCAAATATTATAGAAGGTTCCATAAAGGTCTATTATATTATTCTAGTTGTTGTAAATAATGTCAATAAATGCTATGGGGTATCTTTGAAGATTCAAAAAGATCTGTTAAACACTCTATACTTAGTTTGAAGGAGAGGCAAAGACAGAGACAGAGGGTGAGAGACTGAGATAGAGACAGAAACAAAGACAGTCACATACAGAAGGACAGAGACAAAGAAAGAGAGAGAAAGAGAGAGAGAGGGATAAGGATAGATACAATGATAGAATGACAGATTGATAGCTAGATTGATAGATAATAAATATTCAGGAGTACATAATAATATTATTAATGAAGGTGATGTTTCCCACTGTTAACACATTATTTTTAGAAATCTACTTTTTATAAGTAGAAACAATACAAGAAACAATGTCTCTCACATTTGCATGGGGTAAGGAGTTAGGATACAAGCATATTCTTCAATCAATCAGTGATTTCACTGTTGTGTTCCCTCCTGTGATGCAAATCACAGTTCAATGAGCAAGCATTTATTGAGCACCTATTGTGTTTCAGTCTCTCTGCTCTAAGCTAGAAATTCAAAGACACAAAGGCAATAGTTCCTCCCTTCAAATATCTAACATTCTACTGGAGAGCAACATTGTGGACACAGGTAAGAGCACAAGCATTTAAGTGTTTACTAGGTACCAGTCACTGTGCTAAGCACAGGTGATATAAACAAAAAGAAAAATACATTCTTTGTCCTCAAGGAGTTTACTTCCTTTTTCTTTTCTTCTTCTTTTTGGTTAGGCAATAGGGTTAAGTGACTTGCCCAGGGTCACACAGCTAGTGAGTGTTTTGTGTGTGAGACCAGATTTGAACTCAGGTCCTCCTGAATCCAGGGCCAGTGCTCTTTCCAATGCGTCACCTAGCTGCCCCAGGAGTTTACTTTCTAATTCAGGAATATAACATAAAAGGGAGCTGAAAGATGACAGAAGGCAATGAGAAGGTAAGAGACAGCTGGATTACAGTGGCAGATTCCGGACAGTGAATGTGGCACCCAGGAGTGCGCATAATGCTCCAACTGTTTTCTAAGAATATAGTACTATCACCTTCCTCATTTTGGAAACTATGTCTCCTACAAAGAAGCCTAAAATCATATTACTTTTTATTTGCTGCCATGTCACATTCTTTACTTAGTTTGAGGTTGCAGTCCACTAAGATCAGCAGCATAGTGTACTTGATAGGGCATGGAATTTAGAGTCAAGAAGACTCGGTTTTAAATCTTGCTTCAGGCACTTACTAGCTATGTGATCCTAGGTAAGTCACTTAACTTCTCTATGCCTTGGTTTCCCCATCTGTAAAATAAAGCCTCTAAGGTCCCTTCTAGGTTAAAGCCTATTATCCTATGAAAACCCCTTTTTCAAACTGCTATCTTCTCACCTCAAACCTGTAGTGAACTCACAAAGTTGAATTTTTTTACATTAAGTGCAGGACCTTCCATTTCTCTTTTTTGAAATTTCATCTTCTATTTGGCTCCTCTTTCTAGACTGTTGGAATCTTTTTCAACCCTGACTCTGTCATCCAGTATGTTAGTCATCTCTCCTGGCTTTGTGTCATCTGCATCTGCCCCATTAGAATGAGGGCAGGATGTCAAGGATTGTTTTTTTGTCTTTCTTTGTATCTCCAGTACAGCACCTAGCACCTAGTAAGCACTTAATAAATGTTTGTCAATGGAATGATTTAAAGTACAATGCAAGATACATTTAAATGAAATTATAGAGCATCATTCACTTAATCTTTCATTTTTAGAAGGTCTTTTAGTTTCTTTAGGTGCCTTGGGGGTCATTACTAACAACAGCTTATGATTGAACTAACTGCCATGAAAAAGACATTCTGGTCATTTGAATTCTAGGTTGTTTAGATTCCAACTAAGTGGGAATATATTGTGCAAAATATATACTTATATCTACATATATAAAAATATACAAAATATATCATTTTAATATATAGCATAATAAATTCTCAGCTAATATTTTTATTTTATCTTGTAGTCTCTTCTGCCACTCCATCATGAAAATGCAGAGAAAAGTGAAGAAACCTATCTAAATTTAGTCAGTTCTAGGATGAGAAAGAAAAAAACTTAGTGGCCACCCAATAAGACCATAATATAATGCCAACATCTAGGCCTTGCCATGTTCAAACAGGAAAAAAATAGCCAATAAACAAACTACACCAATCATAATAACTTGTGCAGCTTTCTGACAAGCCTAATGTAGTCCACTCAATGAGGTGTTTCAGATCTCTTCTAAGGAAAGAATATTCTAGACCTCTCTTCATTCAGACAAGAAATATGCTGGGCATGTGGTATCTCTTTGGGTACATCACTGCTCTCAGATAAATGGCCTCTAGTCATTCCAAGATGCACAAATGGGCTTGTTTAATTACAGTAACGTTCATTCACAAATAACATCTTGGCAGTGGCTTAAGAGTAAAATATAATCCTGTTCCATGGAGACCAAATACACAAGCAGATTCTAATTGAGTCCTATGTGTTGCATGGGCAGAAAGAAAAATGTTTTGGGTTATCTATTTTTATTTTCAGTCCTCTTACTAGGCTCAAGTCAAGTTTCTGAAAATCCAGAAGCCACATCATCCACAAAATAAAAATTTCATAAGGCTATGAATGTCTATACTAAAAGAATTTGGTTTTCTGGACCAGATCTTAAGATGTCAGAATGAATTCCTGGCTAAAGGTAGAAAAACAAAATTAGCTGGAGACTTGATGATCTGATTAAGAAAGCTTTATAGTCAAAATTAAGAGGAAAGGAGAAAATGCCCCTAATAAAACTAAAACCCTATACTATAGAGGGTATTTTAATTATATTTTAGTAAAGTAATAATAAAGATGTGCCCCATAATTTGTAAATAAAATAACTGAG